CTCTCTCTCCTGTCCATCTCTCTTCTCTCTGTCTCTGCGGAGCCGGATGATACGGTTACTATTTGTTCGTTGCGTGCCACGTGTTTGAGCGTCGTATTGCGCGCGGGCGCACCCGCGTACGTTTGTGTGTGTTTGTCGGTGTCAGTTGTCCCGCCCCGCCAGCGGCGCCCCGCCCCACCACGCCACGCGCCGGTGCACTCCACCCCGTAAACACAGTCCCTGAAGCTACGCAGAGGCTGCCTGGTGGGGGGGCTTGAGTGTTGAGGGTGAGGGTTGGGGGTTGGGGGTGGATTTAATTCATCAGGAATGTAACGACGTTACGTGGCGGGGTGGGACTTGAGGACGACGCGACGCGAGAGAGGAGGGCGCGCCCTTGGCAAGGCCGAGCGGAGAGACGAGGGGTCATTTCTGCACGTGTTGCTCATTACCGAACTGTGAACGCCTTGCACGCCAATCACAGCCGGGCATGCTCATGAGCACCGGGCCGTGCCGATAACCGCTGTGCGAGGGGATCCCGAGTACAGCCGAGGAAAGGTTGGATAACGATAGATTCCCTGAGCCGGCAGTCTCTTGCAAACCAAGGCCAGAATACAGAAGTGGACCAAAAGTATATTTACGGTGGGTTCAGGCATTTATTAACTAACACTAACAACAGTATTATACCTAACTATAGTATTAACAACGGGTACAGTGACCATCTATTGTCCAAAGGGCGCGACGAGACGAGAGCGGTGCGATAGTGAAGGGAACGCACTGCCTACAGCTCTCGTGTACGTCGGCCCAAGCTGCACGGGCTGCTGCTCCTTCGATCATTCTCTCCCTCACAGCAGAGTCACCAGGCTGCCGGAATGTTTAAAGCTGTCGTCTATGTTGCTCCACTCTGACGCCGTATACTTGGCGCACGGAAAAAGAAAGAATTAGTCTTTACAACTAACAAATTTGCTAATTTTGGGATAGCTATCACAAATTCGATGTGGCAGCTAATAGTTGGTTGCCACAGAAAAGAGTTAGTTGCAACAGCGAAGCTGTCGCTGCAGGAGCCAATCGGTTCGTTCTGACAACTCATTGGGTGTTACGCTAGCCTAACTGCAACCGTTTTAAAGATAGAAGATTAAAGTAGTCAGATTTTAACAAAATTAAAATGGCCCTTCTTAAACACGTCCTAGATGATGCACTGTAAATTTCAGGTCGATACAGTAAGGGAAAAGGATCTTACATTTGAATTTTCATGGGAAGTGGGATTTCCCATGGGATTGCTACTCTCATGGGAGGAGGGCAGATAAGTCCCACGGGCAGATAGTATGGGCTCACAGGGGGGAAATGGACTTTCCATGGGAGACCTGCCAATACCCATCAGACTTTGCCAATGGTGTCCATGGAATTCCAAAGGGACGGTCATGGAAATTTTGGCCTGGGTGACAGAATGAACCGATCGGCTCCTGCAGCGACAGCACTTCGCTGTGGCAACTGACTCTTGTCTGTGGCGGCAAACAACTCTTAAAGCTTTCACAGCGAATTTCTTGTCCACACCAAAATTACCAAATCTATTAGTTGTGACAGCTAATCCTTTTTTTTCCCGTGCGTCCGGCGCAAGGGCAAATTGCTGGGCGGCTCCCGCCCACAGACATGAGCCCCGGCTGCGGCACAGATCCTGATAGTCGAGGAGGGGGATGGGGGCTGCAGAAGTTCCCATCGTGCTCAACTAGCAACGCCGGGTGAGACGTTGCCTTTGAGACGAGGCAGGAAATAGCGCCCGCCTGTTTGATCCTCAGTCCGCGGCGGCGAGGGTTCGCGTCGGGTGGCGTCGCCACAAAGCGATCAAAGTAATCAGCCGGACTCGCGCCGGGGCCGGGACGGGCCGGGAGGGGGCCGGGCTGCGGCGGAAGGGCCCTCACTTTGACCGGCGGGTGCCTGTGGTGCGCCTCCACTCCCACTCCACCTGCGGCGCCTGTGGCTGCGACGGGCGCCTCGGCGGCGGCCCTGGCGGGCCCCTGCTTGGCTGGCTGTGGCTGGGACCGTCATCCTCCCCCCACACCCAGGCTGCGTCCTCTTCCTGGAGCCTCTGCGGCCGGGGCCTCGGCCGGGGCGAGCTGCGGCGGTCGTCGTCGCCGTCCTGCGGCCACTCCCAGGCCGGGCCGTCGGCGGCGGCTCCGGTCGTCGCCCGCACGGACCTGCCGTCGTCGGCGTCCTCGTCGCTGACGCGAGGCCCCGTCGCCGCTAGTCAGGATGCGTCTGGCCAGACCACGCTCTCGATCCAGTCCACGTAGGCCGACACGCGGATGTATACGCCGACACCGCCGCACAGCTGGCCGAAGGACGTGATGCCCACGATGGAGTACAGCCCCATAGGGCGGTCAAGCGTCTGCAGCGGGCCGCCCGAGTCGCCCTGGAGACAGAGGAGGCATGGTGATGCAAAGCGCCCGGGCGATGGGCCGGCCCGTCGGCCACGGGCGCTGGGGTGGTGGCATACCCCGGCTCTGGCAGGGGCTCCCATCTGCCCCAAGTGTTGGACCATCATTGTGTAGCAGCGTACGGCCTGCTCCGCTCTCTCGACTACCTCGCTGGGTACCGAAGCCCTACTGTACGATTCTAAACACCGGATGCCTTGGTGTTTACCTGTGTTTATTACCCAGTAAACAGAACTTGCACTAGTGGGGGTTTAACCTGAGTTAAAGACTACTTTAAGACAAAGATATAGTAGATGTGATTTGCTTAACTACACCCATCATCATGCTGGGCGCAAGCTCCTCATGAATTCACGAGGGGGTACTTACTACCATAAAACTTGTACAGAGTACTCGGTATTACACAGAATTACGTGGTATTGCCGGGTATTACGCCGGTATTATACGCAAAATTTTGCCAGTTTATAGCATTTTTTATTTTTCGGTATTACATTACAAGTAATACCCAGGTGGAGTGTACAGGGTATTACGGAAGTGAATACCCCCTCGTGAATTCAGTCCCAGGGGTTTGGTTAGAGGGGCGCTCACCAGGCAGGTGTCGGCGATGCCGTTGCTGCCGCGCGCGCACAGCTGCTCGGGCTGCACCCCGCGCGCCAGCCGCCGAGACTTCAGCTTGCTGAAGGACGCGTTGCAACGCGTGAGCGGCACCTGGTCCATACCGGCCTTCATGAGCACATCCGAGGTCTGGTCCAGCTCTGCAAGAAAAATGAGAATATTTTTATTTGAGAAAAATTAAAAACAGCTCTAGAGTTTTGAAAAACTTTTTAAAAAGGCATGCCTCGTACGCATACGACAAACTCAGAAAGCTTTTATAGACTTTATAAAAATTTTCAAAATGTTACTGCGAGTGTTTTGGGGTCTCTATTTGCGTGGGAGTGATTGTCATATTCCCCGGCATAGGCAGTCATCCAGTAAGTATACGCCCGCCCTTCTCCGAAACGAAACTGGCAAGTTCAGCCATTACAAACTCTCCGAGCGCCTGTTAGATGGGCAACATCTTGCCTGCTCTGCACGCGTGTAGTGTGGGCTGGCCTACTCCGAATCTCGCGGGCGCTTAGCTCTCGTCGTTCTGCGAATATATCTGATAATAAATGGACGTCCTTCTAGACCGAGTTCTAGACAATCTTTAACGGGTTTGCACTCACGGTCGATGTCGGTGACGCCCCAGCCGGTGGCCACCATGTTGGAGTCGGGCGCCCGCGGCTTGGTGTAGAGGCAAGCTGGCTGTACGCGGTCCGAGAATCGCACCCGGCCGATGCGCAGCACGGCCAGGTCGTTGTAGTGCGACTGCGTGCTGTACTGGGGGTGCACCGTCACCTGCACTACGTCGTGCTCCTCGCCGTCGACCTCAGTCAGGTTGTGCGCGCCGACGCGGACTCGCGTCGGCGGCCCCCTGCAAGCAAAGCAACAGTTCGCGTGGATGAGATTTTGCGACCGTCCATCCCATAGGTAGTAGGTAGGGCCCCCAAGTTACTAAAACGAATGAGTGATGATTAAGGGTCCCCGAGGCGAGCGTCGAGGCAAGCGATGAGCCGTGGATTTCACTCCACACTTTTATTTTTTTACACTTTTTGTCGTGGTTCTTTTTGGGGAGCAAGAGCCGCGGAGAAAAGAGAGTAACAGCTCTGAGCTCTGCGCTGGGGACGCGCTAAGCCCCGACGCGGTCGCGGGAGGAACGGTGCCCGGCGCCACCAGTTCGTTAACCACCTCAGTCCCTCCGGCTGCCCCCCCCC